CCTTATTTAAGATTTAATAGCTCTATTTTTGATCACTTTATTCATAATTTTATTAGTAGAAATTAAATATGGTTCTACTACAAAATTCTGAAAACTATTTTTCTGAAAGAGTATAATATTGACTAAATTAGCCAATATTATAACTAATGCTAGCTAACCTTGTCAGTATTAGGTCCTTTCAGGAATATGTCTTTTAGGATTTTGTGATAAAACTATTAAATACTAAAATCTATATAAATTCTATTTCTACAACATATATAAGATAGATTTTTGTGAGAAAAATGAATATATAAGTTAATAAAGTAACTACTTTCCTTAATTCTAGATCTTGCATTTATTGTATTTGTTAATAATTAAAAATTGCTTAATTTAGTCATTATATCTGACAGAATTAAACTATATATGTGAATTGCTTTCTACCTTGTTAACTGTTAAATCTTTTAGACTATGTAATAGTTGACTAACAAATTACTAAAAGGTTAGCAAAAAAAAAAAAATACAACATTGCTAAACTTAGCTTTTAATCTATTACAGTATATTTAATACTTCTTAATCAGCATATTAACAGTATATTAAAACTAATTAAGACTAATTGGAACTCTTAAATTCAAATTTGATCTTAAACCAAATTTAGTATTTAAACTTTATATTAACTCAAGACAGATATTTAAATGTAAACCTATATTAGATTATCACATTATACAGAATTACTTAAAAAAACAAATAAAATAAGATATTGAAGGAAATATGTCAGTTAGAACAATTTTTACTAGTCTCAGTATCAAAGTTACATATTTTTTATTAATCTAAATATTATTTGAACAAGTTTGAGCATTATGATCCTTTTTATGACAAACATATTTTTTTTGTGTATTTTCATAATTTTGAAAATCAATTAGTTGTATAGGTATCGAAATCAATATCATAACATTACTTGGTCCTACCAAAAAATAAATTATATATGTAAGTAAAAAGATTTCTGATATAATTCTTAGTAAAATGTTTATTATTAGACTATAAAATAAATTAACTAATATCAGATTCTTCTGTATCTAATATTTCTTGAACATATTCATGACTTGTAGAAGTTGCTAATAATTCTTTATAATTGCTATCTTCATAACCTAAATTAATAAATATTTTAGTAATAAGTAGATATATTAAATACAAAGTTATTTTCTATATTTATTACTTATATTTACTATACAATTATATCAGTACATTAGTATATGTATATATTAATATATGTAATAAGAATAAAATCAATTTTGATTTTTTTTTTGAATTTATAGAATTTTGTATAACAAATTAGTACATAATAATCATGTGACATCTTTTGTTCTTATAATTTTAAATGGTTAAAATCTTTAACATTAAATATCTCAAACTAATTATGAAGTAACTATATAATTACCTTTTAATTTCATTATTTGTTTTATTTTTATTAGCTTTTATTTTTTTTTTATTTGCAAGTTTTGCTATTATGATCTCTTTTTTTATATAATTTGCACTTGTAACTCATTTTTGTATCAGATTTCTCAAAAGTATTTGCAATTCTTTTTAATTTAAAATAACCTTTTGGTCTTCTCTTAATAGAATTTTGAATACCTATTATGCAACTATTATTGTTAATATTATAGTTAAATTCATCAATACTACTAATCTCATTAATGATTCTTTGTAATGTTCTTTTTTGAATTAATATAAAAAACCCAAGAAGTTCATGATTAATATCTTCATTATTATTCTTAATTGCATTGATTATTACTTTTCTTTCTAATTCTCAAAATTTATCAAACTTGCATTTTTTTGAAATAGTTTTAGGTATCTCATCAGATGATTAACTTGAAATACTATTTGCAAATTCTTCAACTCTATTAACGTCAAATCTATTATACAAAAATTGTATTGGTAAAGAATGTACTTTTGATGTTGATATCAATATATTCAAAGAAATAGGTATAAATTCATTATTTGTTATATCAACTCCTTGTAATATGTCTTTGTACCAGTGTCTATTAACTAAACTGATATAAAATCTTGTAGTAAGAGTTAGAGTCATAATACAGTAAAAATGATAGCACAGATATTCATGAGATTTTTCAAGCATATATGTGCAAAGAAAAGTTCCATTATTCAAAAGATATTCAAAATGAGAAGTACCAGAATTTAATAAGTATATAACTTTCTAGAATTCAAGAATTGTTGAAAAATCGTTTAGAAGTGATTTTAGTTGTATTTGTGAGCAGTCAAATAAATTGTCAATATACTATTCTGACTCATCAACTTCCTAAAATAATAAGCAATTAAAAAGAAATAAATAATTAACTAATGATATTCATTATAATAATATAAAAAAAAATAGCTTATACTATTAATAATCTATTCTAATAAAACTGTAAAAACATAGAACTTAATTATTCTTCACATTATATCAGCTATCATTAATAGAAATAAAGCAGATTTCTCTAATAAATTTGCTTTATTTCTATTAGTGACAGCTTATAATTAACCTATAAATCTAGTAAATATAGCCTCAAAGATGCAATCAAAGCTATTATAGTTTATGCTATAAATAGTTAAAATATATGTTAATAATAGTCATGAAATAGATTAATAATTTTGGCATAATTTAATATAAAAATTAAATAAAAATTTTACTCTCTTTTTAGAAAATATAGATTCAAGATTAATCTCTATAGCATAATAATAAAAACTTAAGTTCATTTGTTTCTTCTGCTTTTTCATTATATTTGGTATTACAAACTCATTCAATTGTTATACTATTGGTTCAAAAATGCTTTGTGCTATATTTTTTAATCCTACTTGTGGCATAGTTTGCTTTCAACTTACAAACTTGCAATAATTAATTTCTTCTTAGTACCTTTCTTCTAAAGTATCAAATAGTTTATAAAATGAAAGATTTGAACTTCTAAAAAGACATTTTAGTGTTAAGTTTACACTCTCATTACAAAAGGTTGACTGTACACTAGCTATGAAATATCTACTAGTAAAAGCATATGTCTATGATTTAATATAACTTTCTAAAGATCTTATTAAATAATTACTAGATTGTAGACAATCATGTAGTAATTTTTCTTATCTATAAATAAATAAAAAATATAATAAAAAATCTTTGTAGAGCAATACTATTACAGTTTTACTAAATTATATCAGTAGTATGTAAAAATGTTTAACCTCCAAAAATTTTACCTAACTAAAATTTAAACCTATAACTTTATTTTAAAACTTACTAGCAAGGCTATATAATATTGAATACTACTGATATAATTTAGTATTATTGTATTGTTATATTTACCTTTCAATAAATTTTTCTTCTATGAGACTATTTCTTATAGTATAAAAGTCTTTTATAAAATTATTATAACTAGAACCAATTATCCTTTTTAGATTTTTTGGTAAATTTTGACTTATATGCCAAATACAATATATGTGAAATGTGTTGAGAAATTGCACTATGATTGCACTATTAACTACTAGATTACTATCTGTTACTAAAACTTTTGGTTCTAAACTAGTTATATTTAAAATATAATTAAAGACCTATTCATATGAGGATTGTGTTTTATTATCGACAATTATTTGAGCTATGATTTATGTTTTCAAATTATTATCGAGTGCAACAAAGATTAACAAAGAACAATTATAATAGTTAGTTTTGCATGTATTATTATGCATTATTACATTATAGTAGTATAGCTATAAGATTTGCTATTCTGAACTTATCTAGAAAAGATGAGTTAAGGAAGAAGTAACTAGATCAAATTCTATTGAAATAGCCTATTGGGGATCTTTAATTTTTTTTTCATTTAGTCTTTTTAACAATATCTCTGCATCATCTTTATCTGATTTATACTAAACATCTGAATTGTATTGTATAAATTTAGTTGATATATTCTAACTTTATATTTTTCTTTAATTATCTTATACTGCATAGTTGCATTTGCTTTTGTAACAACTGTCAGAAAATGAATTTCTTCAACAATATTTTTTAGTAGCTTTTGTAGTATTGGATCAAAATAGCTCACTAACAGATTAAGTTTATGACCAATATGTTGGTTATTAAAAGATGTAACTTCTAGATAATTTTTGTTATTTATAAACCAAAAATTAATATTCTAGAAGTATCCTACTTGGCAAGATACTCTACTTAATTTTTTTGCTAGGTTTCTAACCTAGCAATACAAATATATCCATTTTACTACTTTTTGACTTTTTGTATTTACTCTTCTACTACTACTAATTCATATACCATAATCTTTAGTAGCATCATATTTTTTTATAAAGTTAGCTATATAATTTCAGTCTTCAAAGGTTTTTCTAACAAAAAGCCTTTTATCATTATTAAAACTAAATAAAGAATAGTAATAAGATAAAACTAAGACTAATTATAAAAATAAACTTTAAACTATTTTATTACTTACTCATTAACATCAGAAAGATTATCTGTGCTATCATATGCAATTAGCACTTCTAGATCTTTGTCTTGACAATTTAATGTTTCAAGTTCTGCAGCTTGATCATCTAATACTTCAGATTTTACAACTTGATTGTTCGACTTATTTATATTAAAATTTTTTTTAACTTTTGCACATACTTTGTTTTTGTTCTATTGTTTTTTTTTTTTTACTAAATAGAGACTTGAAGTCTAAAAACTTCAATATTTTCAATTTATTTATTTTTTTTTTCATCTTTTTCATTTTTTTTTTTTTTTTTGTTACTTTTTTTTTTGTTTTTTTTTTTTTTGTCATCTTTTTTTTTAGGAGAGAAGTTTTTTTACTCTTCTTTCTTTTTGTCTCACTCTTGTTTTTAAAAAAGTTTAAATATAACTTTAATTAATCATTCTTGCTTTGTGAATACTTTTTTTTTTATTTTGTTATTTTTGTCTGTCTTACTTTTTATTAGTTTTGCTATTCTTGTTTAGCATTTTCTTTTTGTTTGTTTACTATTTTTGTCTTATCATTTTATATTTTGTTTGTTTTGTTGTCTTTGTTTAGTCATTTTATTTTATATTTGTTTTATCATGCTATTTTGCTATTTTATTTTCATTATATAACAAGTTAATTAAAAACATAGTAATAGTATATTAATAATATTATAAATTCATACAAAAAATATACATAAAAAAAATTTATATATGTATTATATATACAAAAAGTATATATATATTGCATCTACTGCATTGATCTAATTTATATTACTGTAGTAACATTATTATAGTGATATAAATTAGATCAGTACAGTAGACGCAGTACATATCAGTAACTACATGCTAAAAATTAGATTAAGCAGTAATAGCCCTAAAAATGATTGGTTAGTATTAAGAGTCACCATAGTAACAGGTCGCCAAGTTAATTTTCTCAAAAAAAAAATAAGTTGTCTATATACTAAAATTGAGTAACTTTAAAGAAATTTTTTTATTCAAAAAATTTTATTACTTATTTTTGGTAAACTCATTAAATATTAACTATTTGTTTTTTTTAAAATTAAGATTATATAGAATTTATCAAAAAAAACAACTTTTATTATTACAATTTTTATGATTTAATTGTAAAAATTTAAATTTGTCTTAGAGTTAAAAATTTTTTTTAACTTCAAAAATATATAAAATTTTAAAAATTTTTAAAAAAAATTAATTATAAAAAATTTTTTAATAGAAACTTTAAAAATTTATTATTTAAAAACTATTTAGTAAAATAAAAAAAATTCTTTAATAAAGTTTATAAAATATATTTTTAACAATATATTTTATATATAATATAGATTTTATTACTACGTATTAAATAATGCTTATCTATTATACTCCTTAACGTTAATGTTTTAAATTTTTAAATTTTAT